CCTCATTGCCAACCAGCTATGAACAGATGGGACCAATGCCACCCTGGGACTATATGACAAATGGTGACCAGTGAGGCAAAGCCAAGCAAATAGGGATGCCTAGCCTGACTTTTAAGTCTGGAGGTCAGTGTTTACAGATGATCCACAAGAAACTATGTACGTCGTAATTGAAAATAGCTGCCACATTAGTCTTTTATATTTTCAGGTAGATAATGCTTCACTTGATCTATAAGCAGATGAGAAGAAGAAAGCTCACTCTTATCTAAAGTAGATTTTAACAATCAGAACATACAAGAAAGTAGAGGTTTTGAAGGGAAGGAATGCCGATTTTAGTATCATTTTAGAAATCATTAAACCTTGAGTACTGTGGCCATTTCTTACCCCAGAAAGCAAAAGAAACTAAATCAAGGTCTGGACTTTCAGAACAGCAGGACTGAGAGTTCAAATTATTGTCAGTCGTGGCCCACTGAGAGGCTGGAAAAAGACAGGAGAGTTAAAGCCTGAAAAATATGGCAGTTCTACTGTTTTCTTTTATGATGCGATTGACTATTCAGCCACTTAACTCCCCTGGCACTATAGTTTGTTTAGCTATATACCCAGGGAGAGAAGGGACAAGATTCACTCTAATTCACACACAATATCTATATTTTATAAAGCAAACAAGTGAGAGACAGAAAGAACACAATTATATACCTGCTTTTTCTGGCAAAAACCTTCAGATTTCACTAGCTAAATGTAGTTATTCCTTTACTGATTGACCTTCTGAGCAAAACCAGGAAGATTCTGATTTTTTTTTAGTCTTTTAAATAAAAATTGTGGAAAGATCACGATGAAATATTGTCTATTCACAGATGCCCTACCTTTTGAATAACTTAGCTCTGTTTTATTCAGTTCATAGCTGTTCACAAATTGTATAAAGGTATACTTTTAAGGTAATGTTAGGAGAAGAATTTCTAATCAGATTGCATTTTAAGTGCACACAAACACACACACACACACACAGAGAGAGAGAGGGGGGGAGAGTGTAAAGATTTTGTTGCTATGGTGGAGGTAAGATAGTAGGGCTCAGCTGGCTGATTCTGCTAATCCCATAATAGTCACTCTGTAATATTGTCTTTCCACAATGTAAACCAAGCATATTGAGCGTGAAGATGCAATAGAAGTAAAAAAAAAAAAACCTGCATTCCATCTTTCATCTATGGCTCATTGCATATTTTCTTTTTCAGTACTTATTATAGGATTGTTCACATGGCTAAGTATAATTTCTACAATAGAGTTTAAAATAATGTGCTAAAGAGTTAAAGCAAAACTTCTCAGAATTATCCCATTGATGTGCAAATAACAAGAAAATTCTCAAATTGCCTTTTCTTTCCCCTCTCTTCTGGTTTCCACTTCAAATTTCTTGCCTTAACATTGAAAGTGTTTTTGCTTACTTTTCTTTTATTAGAAAGAGCTGAGTGAGAAAATGCTACGCAGGTGGTAAGTGTAGCACTGGACATTGTGGATTCAGCAAGCCTTTCTTGCGTGGTATACACAGAGGAAACCAAATAATGATGTAAATAGAGAATAACAAAATTTAAATAAAATAATAATGTAAAATTTGGACAGCGTCTTCAAGAGGGTAGGTTCAGTGTTATGTCTGCACATGCTAAATTCAGATAGCAGATCTGTGGAAGTTAAAATGTACTTGCTTTTTTTAGAATTGTCATGTCTCTTTCCATCTTGCATTAGCAACTTTTACATTATAAGAAAGCTCAAGTTATTGTAGTTTATATCGGAAAACCCCTTAAAATGTCCAGCCAGCATAGGTTAGCCATTGTTTGAGCTGACAGAAGCCTTCAGATGTAAAAGCCAATACAGAAATGTACTGTACTATAATATGTAAAGTATGTCTTTGCAGTCAGCCTAAAACTGAGCCTCTGAAACAAAAGTTGGAATATAATTCTAATAAATAATAATTAAATGTTTAAGATACAATTTCCAAATTGAACTTCTCTCTGGGCATGGCATGATTGTTGGCCTATGTGAGATGACATCTTCACATAAATGCCCTATTTCCCATACTCTCATCAGACAACATGACACAAGTATGTAATTGTATCATTGCTTGATGTATACATATAGTTTTGATGTTATTACTGTTTGTTGTAGACAATGCTAGTGCTAGCACGTGCTAGTGATTGAGGTTTTTCTTAACATAGCTAGAGAACAATCTTATATCCTATATGAGCATAACCAAAGCCAGACCTCATGGCCAAAAGAGAGAGTCTTATCTATCATTGCATAGCATGATGGAAAGAAGAGATGCTAAAGCTAAACCACAAGCTCACTATACACTGAACTTGGTTTTGATACATAACAATCACTGGAATTCTTTGTAATAGCTTTTGAACTCTTCTGCAATAACATTTCTTATCAGAGCCTGATGTGAGTGATTGTTAGGAAGCTGGGAAACCCATGGAAGAGAACATAGACATAAACATAAAACAGGCAAGAGATAGTGGGCACACTAGTTGACATTGTATCTCACAAATGGCAACTTGGTCCAGGAGGAGAGAAATCTAGGAGACTGGATGTTAAATCACTCTGCACTGATTAACTCACTGTAATTGAGTTGTGAATTTCCTCTTACAGTTTTTAAAGATTTGGTATTTACCCTAGACCATAGGTGTCAAACTTGATCATGTCACGTGACGTATCGTGATGGATTGTAATGTTTTTTGCCTTTGTGGAGTCGGGGTGGACATGGCCTGCGCATGATGCATCTGGCCCATGGAATGCTAGTTTGACACCCCTGCCCTAGACTCACATTAAAGGTACATTGCTGAAGTGTTTGTAATACTCCTTCCTTGAACTTTCTCAGCTGCATGGGAAACATCTGGATGTTGACATCTGGATTCTTGTATGCCTATTAAATATTTGTAGTCCCGCATGCTTGGGAGAAATCAGGCAATGGCTTCATGGATATATCCATCCAACATACTTGGTATTAATAATGCAGAAGTTGCCCTGCAATTTGTTTGCAACTTTTCAGTCTCTCCCATCACCTGTTATTTCCATATGGTCTCCAATCCAAGTATTAATTAGATCTAGCCATGTTTAGCTTTCAAAGATCAACTGATTGTTTTGGTTGCCCATGTTTCTGGAAGAGGAGATTCCAGGAGCCTGAAAAGGCAGATGGTCTTTCTACTTCATAAGAAGCCAGGCCTGGATTCCATAGCCTAAATAACTTCCATCCTTTCACCAACTCCCCTTTCTAGGGAAAGTTGCTGAGAAAGTGCTAAGGCTGCAACAACAGAGATTTCTAGATGGTATTATCTACATATAGGAATCTGCTTTCAGATGAGGCGTGGAATAGAGACAGAGAGCTTTTCTCATGGTTGACTTTTGGTAGGCCTTGCACTTATGGAACATGACCCTCCTTGTCCTTCTACACTTCCTGGTAGATTTAATTATTGTCAACTACAGTTGACAATATTGCAGTAGTTCCATTTCTACTGGGTGGCTACAGTTATTAAGGCAATTAGCTAGAGTTCTAACCATCTGACATTCTGCTATGGATTTTAGTCCTGTGGCCCAGAATTCAATCCTTTCTCCATCCTATTTAACTTCTACATAAAGTTGTTGCAGAAGGTAATTTGTTGATTCAGAATATGGTATCATTAACATGCTGATACACAACTGTTCATCTTTATTCTGGATCCAATGAAGATGCATTCATAACGGAGAAAATTGCATGTTTGAAAGGATTCTAAAATATTCTATTATAGAGAATTCTCTGTTATGTGGCAACAAGTTTCCCCTTGTAACTTAGAAGAATCTTTTCAGCTCTGTGCAAAGATTGATCCTATAAGAGAGACAATTGAAATCAGTCTCCAAAGGGAATACATGTGAAAATATAGCAGTTAATGATCAAGGATGTCTGTCAAGGATGCAAAAATGAAACATGGAAAGGTCCATTTAGACTAGAATAGTTTCTTATCAATTAGCTTTTGTTCTGTTCCTGGGCTATATTAAGATATTAGAACAAAGGAAGGCAAAAAATCCAAATAGTATCAATTATTGCCTTTTGTTGATTATATTCCCTAAGTATTTTGTATTTGCTTCTGATATTGCTTTGTTCCAATTAAATTACATTAACTAATTAATTAAATTACTTTGTTTTGTGCCTTTTCCCTTTATAAAAAATTCCTATTCCTTTTTATTGTCAATTCATTGTCAGTATATTACTGAATTTAATTTTTTTTATCCTTGTATATTATTCATATTATTACATGAATAAATTGTTCCCTTAATAAAAATGTGATATGTGTTTTGGAAATATATAAACATTTAGCAACAGAAACAAGAGCTGCAGATTTTGAATATATGCCTTATTGTAAGCATTTGTTATAGCCATGCTATTCATGGATAGCATTTTGTTGTGGACTTTAACCATTTAGATATTTACAACTATCCCAAATCATAATTTGAATAAGGATATTTTTTATTTTCTCTGAAAAAGAAATTGTGAACCATAAGCATATTCAGAGCAGTTTTTGGAAACACTTTATTGAGCTCCAGGAGCATCTGTAATTTCTTAACATTTTCTCTCAGTGAAGACTATTTTAAGAGCTGAGTTATCTGATCAACAATTTCATGCCTCTCATCTTTGCTAAACTGCACCACTGTACTATACTTTTTGGGTTATGCAAGGAACTCTGTGTGTGTGTGTGTGTGTGTGTTTGTGTGTGTGTGTTTCCAATATTTTAATATTCTTAATAGATATTTTACAGGAAAATGGAAGGGAGATCCTAGAATTGGATTAGAGCATATTTAAAGAACAAAGCATAACATTATGGAAGTCTTACTAATTGTAAACTATTATTTAAGCAATTCCATTTAACAGAGATAAGAGATTATACTGCTGGCTAGTAAGTAATAGTAAAGTAGTAATTTGCAAATATAGCTTTCAGTGTCTTGGTAGAATTATCAACAATTGCACACATGTTTTCTTACAGATTCACACTCTGTTCTTCTGTTTGCTGAATTGTCTTTCACCTACTGAAGCCTACAAATGGGAAAGTCTGCAGAACTTCTCTTATTTTCATTAGTAACAATCTCTTCTACAGGTAAGAGTTTCTTTGAAGGGTTCATTCATATTTAGATGAGCATAAGGACTGATCAAATTAATGCCAGTTAAGTAACAAAATTATTTGTATTTTCATCTAGCAATCACGATATTAAGTTATACAAGAAGGATAACTCAGCTAACATAAATTTCTATATGTTTTCCTTTTAAGTCATGTACTTACAATGTAACCTAGATATGTCTGCAAACAGAATTTATAAAGCTATTTATAATGATTTTTGTACTAAGTAGGAAAACCAAAATTAAAGAATCAGACATTGTATATTAACCTTATTAGAAAAAATGTCTTTATTTTTTGGGGAGTTACATAGAAGTTTTTTAAAAATGTCATTTATCTATTTATGATATTCTAAATATCAGAATCCTTTTGTATTTTCTGTCCTTTACCTAATGCGTAAACCTCTGCTTCTCATTGTATTCAAACTATTCATAGAAGTTTCATGCTATGCTTTAAAAGGTTGATCTCTCAATGGGAAGGCATTTCATTTTAGATGGCTAAGAATTAGATAATGCTTTGGTGCTAATTCGTCATCTTGGGAGAGGCAACTTCTATGTCCCTTATAAATATCTAATTACATTTTAATGTTTTTGGGGTCTCTTGGGAAGGTAGTTGGCCTAGATCAGGAGGCAATTAGCTTGTGTAGAAGCTAGTCTGGCCCACATATGTCAATGACATCAAGGCAATGCTAGGAGGTTTCTCTATTAACCAGCTGAATTTAGGAGACTTATTTTTTTGCATTCAAGCAGAGACCATAAGGATTAAATCATTTACAAAGCCCTACAGGAGCACTTTCTAATGGTTGATAACATATGACATAAAAGATTAGTATAATGATGGCCAGAAGGCTGGAAATACCTCATGGGGAGCATGAAAAAGAGCCAGGCAGAAGAAAAGCCACCGATTGATCCCATTGGGAGATCAACCTTTTTGAGAATAAAAATCTGGATTTGTAAAAAATACCTACCGTAGATATTTTCATCAATGTCAATATTATTTTCAATATATAGCTCAGGTCTTCAGCTCTAGAAAGTTCAGCAGCTCCAGAAGCCTTCCTCCCTCCCTATACTAAGCACATATACAGGACTATTACAGCTGCAAAAAATAAAATATGAGTTGTTCTAAAATGGGTGCTGACTCTCTTCATCACTTGCTTGGCAGCATTTGGAACTGAAAGGACTGTTACTCAGATCTGGCTAACCACAAACTTCTCTGCAGGATTATATAATGCCAAAAACTTGTAGCAACAGGACAAATGTTCTTATGTAATACATTGAAAACATTATCTAATAAACCACATGTGAAATAATTGTTAAAAGAACTTATAAATAGATCCAAAGAAGTGTCTCAGAAAAATATTGAAGGCAAAGCTAATTTAAGTTTTGCCCATCCTTCTGTTCTCTACTGAAGCTCAATATGGTCTATTATGATTTTCTACTTTCTTTGCCATATGGATGTAGGCTGTTCTACTTATGATCACTCAGAATTGTGTGTAGTATAGGATTTCTTTCCAAAGAAATATCCTGCAGCCTACAAAGCATACTCGGCAAGTGGTCCTCAATGGTACTACATCCACATGGAGAAAAGTAAGCAGTGGGGTACCACAAGGCTCCGTCTTAGGACCAACACTCTTCAATATCTTCATTAATGACTTAGATGAGGGAATAGAAGGGGAACTCATCAGATTTGCAGATGACACCAAACTGGAGGAATGACAAGCCCAGGATCCAAAAAGATCTTGACAAACTTGAACAATGGACCCTATCCAATAAAATGAGTTTTAATGTGGAGAAAAGCAAAGGTTTATATTTAGGCAGGAAAAATCAAAGGTTTAAGTACAGATTAGGCGAGACCTGGCTCAAAAACAGCAATTGTGAGAGGGACTTTGGAGTCCTAGTGGACAATCACGACTGAGCCAGCCGTGTCCAGCAGCAGCCAAAAAAGCTAATACAATCTTGGGTTGTATAAACAGAGGCATAGAATCAAGATCACGTAAAGTATTAGTACCACTTTATTAGTACCCTAGCATTAGTATCCTAGTAAGACCACACCTGGAATACTGCAATCAATTTTGGTCACCATACTACAAAAAAGGTGTTGTGATCTTGGAAAAAGTTCCGAGAAGAGCAACTAAAATGATCAAAGGCCTGGAGACTAAAACATGTGAAGAAGGGCTGCAGGACTTAGGTTTGGCTAGTCTAAGGAAAAGAAGAAATAGGGGTGACATGATAGCAGTATTCCAGTATTTGAGGGGCTGCCCCAAAGAAGAGGGAGTCAAACTATTCTCCAAAGCACCAGAGGGCAAGACAAGAAACAATGGTTGGAAACTGACCAAAGAGAGAAGCAACCTATAATTAAGGAGAAACTTCCTAACAGTGAGGACAATTAACCAGTGGAACAGCTTGCCTTCAGAAATCGTGGGCACTCCATCACTGGAGATTTTTTTTTTTTTTTTTTTAAGAAGAGACTAAACAGCCTTATAGCACAATCCTGAAAAGGCTTCCTCAGCTTTAGAGATCTCTGATTTCAGCAGGACTTGTTCTTATTTAACATAACTGCACAGCATTGTGGTCTTAACTACTGAATATACTTTCCTGGTTTTTGTGTTGGGATTTCTGCTAATCCTATTTTAAAATAGCATTGTTAGTGGCAGCACTTATTTTGTATGTTAATACTTATTAGAAACTTTATATAAGCTTGAATAATTCAGTTTAATGAAGAAAAATGTTTTGTCCGCAATTCCTTTATTTTTAAGCAACCAGGAATAGTTGATAAAAATTGTTTCATGGAGATAGATTTAGCCTTCCCCAGTGTATCAGATTCCTGATGTTTTTCACCACATAGAAAGGTATTAACAAATAACTCTTATTAACTCATTTAGTTCTAAGTTTTATGTTACTTGCTAATTGTTTTTTTTATTGAGATACTACTAAAACAGGGCCGAAAAATTTCTATCCTTCCAGATGTTACTGAACAATTTTTAACATTCCAATTTTCCAACTGGACCTGCTGAGAACTGCAATTCAGCAACAACTGAAGCACACCTGCAAAACTATTTTATCTCTGTTCTTAGATAGAAATATCCTATGCAATTTCCTCATTCATGGCACATGTCAGCCTTTAGTTGTGCCACAGATCCTGAGTTTATGCTTTAATGATACAATAATATAAATAGAAAAAATAAGACATGACCATGAGAGATTTCTACCATACCATCCCAATATTTACTCTATAAGAACCTAACAACATCATAAGTGCTTCATAAAGATACCAAATGCATGTTATTTTGGCATTTTATCAGATGCCTTGAAATCTCAGGAACAAATCTTCCCAGTCTTTTTGCACTTTTCACACTCCAATTCATAGCCATTATAGGAAAAGATGAGGGCAACAAGAAAAACAGGGAGGGAAAGCAGAGCCATGTAAAATAAAAAACCAAGATTAGCCAAGATTGGATTTTCTCGGTTAAGAAAATATACCATTGATATTTAGAGGCAGAAATCTGAGGTTTAACAAAAATGGCTTTTGAATGTGCAATTATCATGAATTATTTATTGAATTCTGAGTACTCTTAGCCAGTCCTCCCCGCCCCAACCAAAAAACTCTAAGCCTTGAGTACATCTGCTTTTAGCTATTGAAATGTCATTAGAAGATGACAATCTTCCTAAGCCAATATTCCATCCTTTGTTCCATCAGCGTCAAGGACAAGACCATTTCCAGCTGAGATAGGATAAGAGGGAGCAAAGGGTCCTGCAATTATTTTAATTAATCCAGCAATGCTTTATTATCAGTATGTGGATGTGTATATCGTGCTAACTTAAGAGAAGACAGACTGCTCAGATTGAAATGCAGAAGGCCCCACTTAGTGAGATGTACTGTATGTCTGATGTATTCCACATTGTCAACCACTTTCACTTTCACATAAATATAAATGCATGGATTTTTTTTTCTATACTCTTCATGGGCATAAATGGAAAAGTTGGAGCTCAAAATAAAATGAGTACCTTTATCCTTCTGTATTCTCCCCAGCTGGAAGTCACTCTGGCATAAGATACTATGGATTTTTTTTTAAAAAAAAAATGCTTATTTTAAACAGCATCTTCGTGTTGGAAGTAAGAAGGCAAACAACTGATTGGAGAATGGAATATTAAACTTTTCTTGGAGCTTCATTTGTCTGGTGTTTTATGTTCTGTGTCCCATACAGAGCACATGAAAGTTTAACAGAAATTGGCCTGTGGTTTTTAACTCTAAAGAGCAAAAAATTCAAAATACAGAGTAAGAACAGTCATCTGATGAGATACAATTATGCAAGGGCTTGAGCTTCATCATAACTTTTTCTTTTTTATGAAAGAAAAGTGAGGGGTTATTAACAAATGCAGAGTGTAGGGCAGCCAGACTTCATTTGAAGTGTTCATTATTATTTCTGAATTAGATTAAACTGTGTACATTTTAAGGGTTTTTTTTTTTTCTGTCTTCCTATGTAGTCTGGAAGTCAGCTGAGACTATGATGAGAAACTATGGGCCTGTCTTTGAAGACCAGCCACACAATATCCTTTTTCCAGAATGGTCAACAGAGGAGCAAATTTTGTTGGTATGCCGAACACGAGCGAGTCCTCCTGCAAATTACAGGTGATGTCACTTCTAGCATCTGCTTTGTTTAATGGGAAACATGATTGCAAAATCAGAGGGCACATTTTGTGTCAAATGGCACTATATCTTTGCCTAGGGTGCTAGTAATGTAGACAAAGGCAAACATTTCATATTCCATTCAGTTAAATGAAGTACTGAATGTATTAGTAAAGCATAGAACTAATTATTTTTAATTCACATCCAGGGGAATTTAATTACATTTAACATATTAGTGCAAGCTTGTTCATGCCTCTTTAGAAGTAAACCAAATATAGATTCTTTGTGCTTACTTCCAAGTAACTGAATCTGATGCTGCCTGTTTTATATCCTGGATTAGGTTTTATGCTTTGAAAACTTCTGAACTTAAAATATGATTCAATAGATAGAAACATCCAAATATTGTATCCACATTGTGCTTAAAAAAGGAAATCTGCTGAAAAACAAGTTGCTTAAAATACAGGTAGCCCTGACTTAATTTTTTAAAATATAATTTTGATTAAGAATTTTAATTACAATACTTAAAACTAACTGCTTTTTTTTGGTATATCCAGTAAACCATCCTTTTTCTCTTCGTCTGTCATTTGTAATTTCACTTTCTGCACTTTATCTTGTCCTTTTTAAAAGGACACTAAGTTTGTAAACCTCACTTTCAAGTCACTTTCAGAAATTGCCTGCTAATTATCTTAAAGCTATTAGAGATCACCCCAAACATCTCATCATATTTTGCAAAAGTATCAACCTCTGAGCAAATACATTTGATTTTATTTTTAAATATTATACATGTTATACTGTATGTAATAATCTTAAAACATTTTAAGCATATGAATGATTTACCAAGGTCTGCAAATAAGCTGTTTGAAATTATGGTTCTTTGATCTTTTGGACTATATTCTATATATTATAGACGAGTGTGTGATCCTTTGGAATGAATCTCATCTGATATATATGTTTATATATATATATCAAAACTTCAAACAAATGCTTCCATATTTATTTGCTCAATTTCTATAGTTGCTCAGCTCACCAATTGTGATTCTGAGCAGCTTCCATAGGATTATAGCAAACAAGGAACATAAAAAGCAGAAAAATATAGGTTGCAGAAAAAATTAGGAACCAGAGTGAATTTTCAGATATTCTAGCTTCTCTATTTAGAAACAGTCATGGATCTCAGTCCTAATCTTGGTGCAAAATATGCTTCTGGTTATGCTTAAACAATATTTAAGCACTGAGTTGGTGGTCTTTTATATTAAGAAAGTGCAATCATAATTTGTCCTGTTTTTTGACTGGGGTTTTATAGAAATAGACAATATTTCCCATTCAACTACTATCAAACAATAGGCTCTATTGACCATTCAAGATAGTGCTAATGTGCAGCTGTGGGTCTTCTAGTATGTTCTCATTCCATCCCAATATCATTGTTTCTGGCAGGTGGAAGATGAATGGAACAGAGATCAAAATAGAGCCAGATTCACGATACAGGTTAAATGGTGGCAACTTGGTAATAAGAAACCCAATGACAGCTAAAGATGCTGGATCCTACCAGTGCATAGCATCCAACTCCATGGGCACAATAATAAGTAGAGAAGCTCATGTTCGCTTCAGCTGTAAGTAATTTGTCCCATTTTGAATACATTCTCTGTACAAAAAGGACAGCAGTGTCAAGACTTCTGCCACCCAAGCTACTGTGACAGCATGCTTGGCCAACATAAGCAACCTGGTTGAAAATCAGTGCAGTTGGGGCAGAAGTAAAGTTCTGATATATAGCTGGATCACACTACACCTTGTGCATGATTTAGTCTTTTGCAAGGATGATCAGGATTTAGCCTATAACCAGACAGAATTCTTCACAAATTTATTTTATAGTTCCTCGTATAATCATGATTTTAAATTTTTAGTCAAGATGCTAGAGATGTGAACTGTTTTAATGAATATGTAGATATGAACAAATCACTTTCTTTTGGGGTGCATGATTCTGAATATAAACCTGTAAAAATGATGGGGGGCTAGGAGACTATCTAATGGCAATAGCTGCCTTTTATTGTAAATAGGATAAATAAAAGTTAAATTTAAGGACTGTCTTCTCCACATTGATTTCCTTCTTTCATAAAATCATGAGATGATATTGTGCATAAATGCTAACTGTGCATTCTTCTAACATGCAAATAGGCATTATCTTATCTTTGCTGTGTAGTATTTCTGATCCAAAACTGTACTTTTTCAGATCAAACTAATTTACTAAAAGCTCGAAGAGTTGCAAAATTATTTATCATATCACAGAGTTTCCAAGTCCAGCATACTCATTACTTTTTTCTGTATGGAAAGCTTGCTGCTGTTTTTATATTTTATTGATAAACATTGGGATTATATGTGTATTGATTACAAACAAACAGATGTGACTCATTTTAAAGAGCTGCTTAGAATTGGAATTAATAATAAGAAAAAAGGATAGAAAGATAGCATTGACTTCTCTAATTCAAAAACAGCAGACTCTCTAAAGATTGCTCCTGAAGATACCTGCTATTATTTTCACAATTTCCTTTTGATAGGATGGGAACATGATTACCTGTAGCAAGCAATATTTCCCCTAAGAACCAATGTGTAAAAAGTGCTAGCCATCCTAGCATACATCTGAACACTGGACTGTTTGTATGTCTTAGATCTGCAGGAATTCTCTACAGAAGAACGAGATCCAGTGAGGGCTACAGAGGGCTGGGGGGTGATGTTGACGTGCAGCCCACCACCACACTATCCAGGTGAGGAAATAGCAATGCATTAGAAGTGAGGCTTTCACTGAAAGGGTACAAAACATCCATATTTGAGGAATGATATATCAGAAATTGGCATTAGGCCATAACATTTGGCCTGCTAGAATGTTAATATTTGGTTGCTGTTATTTCTTTGATGTTGTCTTTATTGACATTATTATTGCTCCTTCTTGAGTAACAATGAAGTCCCAAAAAAGAAATAATTGTTTGGTATTGAACCCACTTTGTAATTATTTTTTGATACACCACCAACATTTAATACTTATTCTTTAGAATTGTTTCAGAATCATTTGGAACTAATTAGCAATGTAGAGTGTTGCCAAATATTAATAGAAGTTGCTACACTTTCTGTTAAGTGCAGATAATTACAGTGAGAAAGGCTCTGAAAAGTATGAAATTTTCAAATTATTACAGACCTCATCTCTATAGTTTCCAGGTCTTCAGTGAAGTCTGAAATTCTTCCCTGAAATCAGGAATTGGATGCTAATTGCTGCTGCAAATTCCCCATGTCAAAACTGAGAATTTTGATATAGATAGAAATGGCATTTATCACTGTTTAGTGGTACAAATCTATGTGTGCATATTTTTCTGACTATCCTGCAGAATTTGAATAATAGGATACTGTATTGCATTTCATGAAAAGGGATTGTGCTAAATGTTTCCATCCAGAAATAAAGGGGTTTCTAATTTAAGATACTGGATTCAGCTCTTTTTAAAGAATATTGTGGGACAGTTACGCATCCTCTCTAAAAGGACAAATATTCTCATTTCATTTGGCATAAGACATCAATATATATCACTGATATATACCAGGCATTGAGGTAGGTAGGTAGGTGGGTGGGTGGGTGGATGGATGGATGGATGGATGGATGGAGTGCAGAATGAATTCATAGCAACTGGATTTAGTAATAGGTTTGTCTAGAAAATAACTGGCTGAGGTCAAGCTTTCATTGTAACTATCATATGATATAAAAAAACCATTCTCCCCCTTCCCCTCTGTTTTTCTTTCTCTCTCTCTCTTTCTGTATATACAGGACTTGAATATCGCTGGTTAGTGAATGATTTCCCAAACTTCATTCCAGCAGATGGCAGGCACTTCATCTCTCAGACAACCGGAAACCTTTACATTGCTAAGACTGAGGCTTCTGATGTTGGCAGCTACTCCTGTTTTGCTACGGGCCATATTGGCTCTGTTAAAAGGAATGTTTTTAGCACGTCTTCTCAACTCGTTCTTGTAAGAGAAGGTCAGCATTTAAAGACTCCTATCTGTGTGTCTCTCTGTCTATAATGGGTATCCACTAAGCCAATCATTTTCAGGGGTTTGCAAGGTGGGTTTTCTCCGTGTGTATCTCTAAAGTTATCTTTATTGTGGAAAATATGTCCCATATAATTTGCTAATCAATGTGCTTGATTAAAATGTTTGCTGAGTGGTGTTTGTGTTTGTTTTTGTCTCTTTGCATCATTCACAGTGAGGCTAGGGGAGGATGTTATTTCTGTGACTGACAGGAAAAGATCATTAAATGAAGCCTATGGATAAGGGGGAAAACTTTGCTCATTTGTGCATTATATCACTCTATTATTTGATAGTTTGATTCAGTGCTTATATTTGAAAGAATCATAGAAACAGAATTGTGGAGTTTGAAGTGATCATAAGGATCATCTAGTCCAGCCAAGAGAGATGGTTCTTCAGGTTCTTAAACACCTCTAGAGAACAAGAATTACAACTGTCATTGATAGACTGTTCCACTATTCTACAGATCTTACCATCAGGATGATTTTCTTTATATTTAAACAGAAATTATATCCATTGTTTCTGCTCCTAGCTTCTGTGGCAATAGAAAACTGTTCCTCACCATGTTCTCTATGACGTCTTTTTATGTATCTGAACACTGACACCATGTTTTTTCTCAGTGTTTTTTCCTTCAGATTCAACAACTCAAATTCTTTTATCCTGACTTTATATCACTGTATTTTTTTATTGCACTCCCTTGAACCTATTCTAATCAGACGATATCCTTCTGGCTTCACTTCTCTTACCAATAAGTCTGATTCCATGATTTCCTCTACTTCACACTTTACAGGTGAATACTATAGACAAAAGAATAAAATATGTATCACTTCTAGTTTTGACCTTTGTTTTAAAAAAACACCTTTAACCGAGGCCATTATTCTTTTTTTTTTTAACAAATTTTATTGGGTTTTTTTAATTCTGAAAACAAAGTACTCAGGACACACCGTGGTGGTGGGGTAATCAAACATCCAAAAACAAAACATATATACATAGTACAATCAATACATCAAATATTCCCTCTCTTTTTCCCTTAAATAGCATAGTATATTTAAAATAATCCAATTCTAGCTTAAATTTATTCAACCTGAACCTGTTTTAAAGCTTTATGAATTTAAAATACCGTAATCAAACTAACTTTAAATAAAAACATTATCAATTCAGGTATCCCTTCCAAATATGTTCTAGTTCCTTAATTTTAACATACATCTTATTTATTTCTTCTTCCACTAATATCCCCTATTTAAAATAAAATATTGATCTATCATATACATATCTAATCCATCAATTAATCAGTCTCTTTAAGATGACAGAATAATGTCAGACCTTAAATCATTTCAATCCATTAGACAGACTTCATTAATTATCATAACTACTAATATCCATGTCATCAAACAAACACGTCATCTTGTTAAATTAACTCAATTAATTAATTCAATCCGATCTAAAACATCTCTTCAATTTTCTTCATTCCATTACATAATAACTTTCATGCAAATAAACCTATCATTCTAAAAAATACATTCTTAATCTTCTAGACTACCTTTAATCCATTATATAATTAAAGTGACAAAATAATATTAAGCTTTAAATCATTTCAGTTCGTTAAGCAAATTTCAAATTTCATCCAATTGATTATTATGCCTTACCACATCTATATTATCTTACAAAAACATCATCCACTAATTTAAAACACTCAATTGATTATTAAAACAATCCAGAATTTAAAAACCACCATTTTCCCCATTCCAATACATAATAATTTTCATCAAAATAAGCCTATTATTCCACCAATTACATTCTTAATCTATTTTAAGATATCTGTTCTAATAATCACCCCCTTATTTTTTCCCCTTATTTCTAAATCTGAATCTTAGTCCTTAAAACAGTCCATAAATCAACGTGCCTTTTAATCCATTACACATCATTTTAAATTTCTATTTTCAGTCTTGTTCTGGCCTTTCTATGCCAGGCAGGTTTTCATAACAAAGCTTCCCTTTCAACCGATAAATTTCTCTTTATTGCTTGTAGTGCCCTTTGAAGCGATAGGAATCCCATCCTCTGTATCAGGCCTCTGTTTCTCTCATCCTTAAAGCTTCGTTGTTTTAAAGTTTCAAGTCTTAATCTTTGGTTCTTCTGGTCCTCAAAAATATAAATGACATGTTTATAAGGTAAAGTCTCTTTTATCTCAGTTGTTTCCTCTTCTAGTAAGTTTTGATTTGTAGAATGCTCAGATATAGTCTGGAGATCAGTTTGAAGATTTGAAGTGGAACTTCTGGTTCTTAATTCTGTAGTAAACTCTTTTATTGTAGCACATATTTCTGCAGTAGCCTTATAAATCTTTTCCAATATAAGTTTGCAGTTTAATTGTAACTGAGCTTTCTCCATATTGATAGTAATTGAAGAGAGTCTCTTTTTTCCTTTTTTTTTTTTGTGGAGGCTGTATTTAATAAAAGTTGAGCAGTATCCACCCCCACAATTCCCACTGCTACATCAGTTTAACTTTTCTCTTGAAAAAAATTGAAGGTCAGGTCTGTTCCTCCAAAGAATAGCCAGAGATTGCAATATCAGGTTTTCACTAGTAGATGTCCTCAATAGATTTAAAAAAATCTTTTCCAGACACCATTTTTCGCCCTTTTTTTCTATCTTTTGAAATATGATGTGAAAAAAGAAATAATCTTCAAGCATAAAGTAATAGTACAGCTCTTAAAAAAGTTTTTTCTGTACCCCTAAACAGATGAAAATAAGTTATAGTCTCTAAAATTTTATTCTATTCCTTTGTTCAACGCCTTTCTTCCCAAACATATAGAAGCTGCTTTTTCAAGACAGGGAAATAGTTCCAACAAAACTCATACAGGCAAAAAAGAAGCAAAATAAAGTAAAGAGAGGAGCCAAAAAAAAGTCTCACCTGGATTCACCACGGTGGTTCTCAATGCTTAGATGTTGTTTGACTTGCGGTTTGAAGCAGCTGGGTGATCGGCCATTTTACTAGCCGATCTTCCTCCTCCGTCGGCCCTCAGAGATGGCTCGGACAGCTGGAGGAGCCACTGCTCCTCCGCAGCCGAGCGAAGCCTCGTCGACAGAAGTCGCATCCTCCAAAGTGACTTTGGACCTGCATAAGGGTCTACCGGCGGAGGGAAAACTAGCCGACGAGAAGACAAGTCTCCTCGTGCGACTAGAGATGCCACGATCCGGAACCAGAAGTCCATTATTCTTTGATGAGGTTAGGAACATTGAAAAGGATCTTTTACTAAGTCAGATCACTACTTGTCTCTCTAGCTCAGTAATGTTTATGGTGAATGGAATTGCCTCTTCCAAATATCAGATCCTGGAGATACCCAAGACTGAACTGGACATCACATAACCTAGCACATTCAAATATAAAGGAGAATACCCATCATTCAAATTAATATCTTCTTTGAATGAAACTTGACTCTTGTTCACATAAAAATATTGGTGTAGTTTACTTGGCAGCAGAATGGAAGTGGTTTGTCATTTTCTTCTGGAATGTTTTTGCAGGTCTGGCATTTTTGTTGGTCTTCTATCCAAATGCTGACAAGATCCAATTCTGCTTATCTTTCTGAGATCAGTCAAGTCACTGCCATTTAGCTGGATACCTGTCAGTTGCCACCTGTTGGGCTCAGTCCAAAAATGAGATATTTCAGTCCTTTATTTGCTTATGCTCAATAGACAGATTCTTGATAGACTAAACCTTTTCTACTCTTATCCTACTAGATACACCCTGGGAGATTCTAGGGAATGGTTATCCTAACTCTCTTCCTTTGCTCCTATTTAGCTCCAAGTTATTTTTGCTTCTTGTCTTGCCTCTCTCCTTGGAATCTGCTCCTTACATCCTGGGAAACTGCTGCTTCACTGTAGTCTATTACACAACTTCTCCAATTAACACTAGACAATATTTTATATTTTTAGATCAAATTATCTTCATAACAATTCTGCAAGTCTGATTCCTTGTCTTATAATTTAATAGAAACCAAAGCAGAGAAATGAAAGCAAATATTCTGCTTAGCACACCATGCCATCAATTTTTAGAGTGTAGAATTGATTTGCTTTTATATTATTATTATTATTATTATTATTATTATTATTATTATTAATCTCATTGTTGCTGGAAGCATTTTTATAACAGAAGTTAAGATATAGAGTCTACTTTAAAGTCATCAAGTAAAAGTTATTGTTTTACAGAAACCTGAAACTAAGTGTCTGTCAGCTTAGTTTAGGTTCTTCACTTCTTCAGCATATGTCTCTTAACATTGAAGTAGTTTAAATTTTACGAAAGTCCCTTAACTTACAATTGTCTTTTTACTTTTTTTTTTACTGAAGATAGAAGTAGAGCTGAGATTAGGAAAGGACTGCAACTTATCTGCTGGGCACACCAAAAGCCCAATTCAATCCTTGGTACCTTCCAATATGGCTGGAAAAAGCTTGCTTTAGAAATTTTAGAGAGTTGGTGCTTACACAGGGTAGATAATGTTGAACTAGAATGCCAGGGTTTAGTTCTGCTGAAAGTAGTTTGCTATATTCTGAGCAACTTGTTAGCACAGCTGAATCAAGACTTTTGGGTTGAAAAATGTTGAGATTTTAATTTTTTTCAAACCAGAGGAGGGGGGGGTAGACCATATGGTAGCTCCAGTAACATATTGAGTCTTCTGCAACAGCCATTGAAGTAAAGTTCTGCAATTATTGTACCTCCTTGAATTTTAAGTTGAAGATGCATTACTATTGATCTCTGCTTTATAATGACTTATTTTTCATGACTAACATCTTTGCAGTCACTTCTCTTTTTCTCCTCAGATTCCAGACCTCATGCCCCAATCATTAAAGCCAAGTTTCCTTCTGATACCTACGCTTTGACTGGGCAAGTGGTGACTTTGGAGTGTTTTGCCTTTGGGAAGTGAGTAGCTGTATCAATGCATTTAATTCTATATTGTTGACAACATAAACATTGCCAGTTCTCATTGTCACTGGTTACATGCTATGGTACCTACTTAAAAGAATCAAGTTTATAGAAGAGAAGGGAAGTGTGGCCTATCACTTTTAAGGAACTATCATAGGAAAAGTATGGAGAGCTGAAACTATTAACCCTTCTAAACTACAGCACATTTAATTGAGCCCATTCTCTTTTTGTTATAGAGTGGCTGATTTATGCAGAGTTTTGTACTCTGTTTGCCTATTAAGTGAACGAACTAAGGTTTTAATAATTTGATTATTATTTACTCACTATTTTGATCATTTAACTACTAAAACGATAAATGTCAACTGGATTGAGTTAGAGCTCACAAATGTTTGTTTTATTCTATTAATGCTACTCATTTGCCCTGGACTGGGTGATGTGATAAGGGTGTTTTGAAGCAAGTACAAAATCCACACAAACAAAAGGGGGAATGTGATGTGACAATTTGCCAGCCAGTCTCCTGTATATTTTTGTATATTGATAAGAGAAGAAATAAAGTTGAGAAGGTTAAAAGTAAGTCACACAGTGGTTTACAATCAAGGGAAAAAATATACTTCAGAGAGTGCAGAGACACTCACATAGTACCTTTAGCAATTCCTTAAAGCAGCTTTGTATTTTCCTGGCATCATGTGATTTCCCTCTATACAGTTATTGCATCCTATGACACACATAGGATAGCCCTGTGTAAAAGTAATGGACAAAATGCTACACATAATAAGGAAAGGAAAATGTATCAGTGTGCAACATGTTGCATTGCCCCTGAAGCTTGAGCGGAATGGGACCCTCTTTAAGTACCCTTTGTGACAGATGTTTCTTTTACAATATAGCCCTGTCCCTCAAATAAAATGGCGAAAGGTGGATGGTAGCCAGTCCTCCAGATGGATCTCATTTGAACCTGTGCTTCAGTTTAAAGAGGCGAGCTTTGATGATGAAGGCACTTACGAGTGTGAAGCTGAGAATGGCCAAGGAAAAGATACTTTTAAGGGCCGCCTCATTATCCAAGGTAAAGTCACAACTTTTAGTTTATTATGCTTTTGGAACTTTTTGGAATTCCCTTATATTTATTTATTAAAACATTCGTAAGTTCTATATTTGTTTAGCTTTAACAAAAACTGCATTATGAAATAGAGAAAATCATTTTCTGGCTTGTTTCAGATCGACTTTATTTAATGGAATGGCAGTATGCATGTGAACATACCGTATTTTCCGGTGTATAAGACGACTTTCTAAAGCCTGAAAATCTTCTCAAAAGTCACATGTCGTCTTATACACAGGAATATACAGGTAGCTGTTCTCTGAATTTAAAACCAATCTGCCCCCTAGTGGCCAGCCCTATTTTTTTACAGAAATAAGCACTAACAGGACAAAGCTTTCTAGCAGCAAAGGAGCTCCTATTGTGCTCATCTATAAACAGAAATTCAATATTGTACTGTATTTTCTGGCGTATAAGATGACTTTCTAAAGCCTGAAAATTTTCTCAAAAGTTGGGGGTCGTCTTATACACCCAGTCATCTTATACGCCGGAATATACGGTAATCTGAGCAAATAATCTACATCTGATTTTCACATTGGTGAAGGTGTTTTTTGTTTTTTTTTCATTTTACTGCATTGACAAAAATGGCCATTTTATTGTTGTAATAACACCTAAGCTATTTGCTTGGTAAGTGAATCATCTGGAGAAGAAACCTATCCTTTCTTAGTAAAGAGACACATGTTTATGCACAGGTGCTATCATTTGGATTTTTAGAAATGAAAGGTACAACAATGAAGTTGTAGCAAATCATCACTAGATTATCATCATTATGATCATCATCTTGCACTGTTTGAAATGCTCCTTTTTTACTCTTTTTTTTTTTTTTTTTTAGCTCAGCCAGAATGGCTAAAAGTCATCACAGACAAAGAAGCTGACATTGGATCAAATCTCCATTGGAGCTGTGCTGCAGCTGGCAAACCAAGGCCTACATTAAGGTGGCTACGGAATGGGCAACCATTAACTTCCCAGGTACATATGACGAATGAATAAGTTCTACCTGTACCATTGACCCTTGTGTCAACATCCTGAAGACTATGTAACATGTAATTTTATGAAGACTATTTAACATATATCTGGGTATCCCTCCAACATAACCCAGGATTATGCTTTTTTATTTGTACAAGTGGTTTTCATTTAGTGAGGACCAACAACTTGGTTGCTAAGTGGAAAATCACATGACTGTGATTGTGCTTAGAATTTTATTTCAGCTTTCCTCTTCAGTGTTGCAAACATTTAATATGATGCAAAAGTCTTCTATAGTTACTTTGTTTAATTATAACTTCAGAGTATTTAAGATGGCTTTGCATTTAACTGTGTATTTTTATTCCTTACTCTGAAGTAAGGAATTTCAAATTCAACTCATTACTTTGGAAAACTTGTTATCTAAAGGAGGAATTATTTCTCTTTGTTATGTTAAATTTTAGTCTCTGGTTTATATTAGGATAGTGGAATTAATTTATATTTCGGAAATGTGACTTTACTAATGGGTTAGAATGGAGACATGAAGTGTATATTTGAATGAAATAAGTTGTTATTGAGAATGCTGTTTTCCAGTTTGTCTTTTGTAAAGGAAAAAAAGAGTCTCTCTTTGTCACATTAAAGTGGACTGTATGTTTAGTCCATTTACATTAATATATTGACAACATTTATATAGGATTTTTTTGTACTTAAGTCGAGATATGGAATGTTGAGTTTATATAGGTTCATTAATGTTAAAATGTTAGAGATTTGTTTGGATCTTTTGCTGATAACTGGATTGAAGAATGACATTACTTATTTGATTTGCTTATTATTAACAGATGGATTATGGGATTAACTGTTTTATATTTGTTACATAAAAGAAGGTAAAGAGATTATGAAATTATTTGCCATGATGAGAATGGGAAGTTGTTTTTTTTGGAGAGTAGGCGTTATTATTATTTTTTCTTTTTTCTTTTTTTTTCTTACAATTTTTCTATTTTTTCTTCTAGTTTAATAACATTATTTTTCATAATAATGTTATCTTTGACATTCCCTTGTTTAAACAGAATCGCATTGAAGTGAATGGTGGGAATTTAAAGATATTAAAGTTAACAGTGGAAGATTCAGGGATGTACCAGTGTATAGGAGAGAACAAACATGGCAAAATCTATGCAAGTGCGGAATTGTATGTCCAAGGTAATTTCTGACTTTCCAAGAATTAAATGAGAGTTGCCCTATTAATAAGATAGGGAAGTTAATTTTCAGAGTCCTCAGTACTAAGTATGTTTAATCGGTTGTCCTGAATTGAATATACTATTGTTTGTTTGTGATGGTGTGGTTTTGAAAACTGCAGGTCATTCTGCTTAAAAAGCTGGATAGAGTAGGCATTTAATCAAATTGTTTAATAGATGCTGTAGATTTTTATATAGAAAAGAATGTTTAGAAAATACTTGCAAAAGGCAGAAAAGTGTTGGTGAAAGTTTGAGAAGAATTGGGCAACTTTTCAGGATCTTCATGCTAACCACATTGGCTTTTACACTATTATAATATTTATAATTATTCAATTAACCAGGGGCAATGAATTTAAAGTGGTTGTTCTTGCATGGTACATTAGACCATCTTATTACAAATTATTTTTAATGACCAAGAAATAATTGCTTTTGTGACTTTTTTTTTTTGGTAGAAACTCATTAATTGCTTTTTCTCTTTAGCCTTTGCTCCAGATTTTCGACTAAACCCTGTCAGGCAATTGATACCAGCAGCTCGAGGTGGAGAAATTATTATTCATTGTCAGCCCAGAGCTGCCCCAAAGGCTATAATTCTTTGGACAAAAGGCACTGAGCTTCTGAGAAACAGTTCCAGGTAGGAGAAATCCATTTCTATTTCTAGCTTAGGGTCAATAACTTTACAAATATTCTAGTTAATGCAAGCTCTAATTAGTCCAAATGTGGGACTGATTTTAATGCAAGTTCTGATCCCATTCATGCTTCCTTAAAATTGTCTTCTGTTGACCTTACTTCCAGTTAAGGATAATTATTCAAAGACATATAATCTGTTGTGGCTTTGCTTGAAGCCCATTAATTGATTTAAATGTGCAGTGATATCCAGATGGCAGCATGTTGTATTAGAATAGAATAGAATAGAATAGAATAGAATAGAATAGAATAGAATAGAATAGAATAGAATAGAATAGAATAGAATAGAATATTGAAGGTTTGTTTTTGGTTGGCTGTTCCAAACTATTGTGAACTGTGTGCACAACTTTTTGTAACAGAGAGAGAGAGAGAGAATGTGCAAAGTCAGCTTCATGGTTGGGGTTGGGTGGTCTTGAGTCCCCTGAGTCTTAATATAGCACTGTAACTGAAATGTATACTGGCTTTACTCTTCCAGATCACTTTAAAGTAAGCCAGTGAGCAGAGAGTATTTTACAGGATTTCGTTTGAATGCCCTGCCGTCATCTAATTATCCTCTTTTCTTTCTTTTTATCTCTTAAAAATGACATCCTAACCACAATAGTATTGCGTCTTACTGATGAGAAGATGTAAGCCGTCAGTGACCCCACTCATTTCAATGAAGTTCTATTTTATATGGAATGTTATTGTTGACACCTTCCTTGTTCTATAGGGTAAAACTCATCCGTGTCTTGATGCTTTGTTTCCAGTTCTTTAACCCAGGTTTTTGTGACTGTACATCCATGTGTTTACTGTTGGTCTCTGCTTTTATTGCAGCATAATTATCACTCCAGAGGGCACCTTGATCATTCGAAATATTAGCAAGCCCGATGAAGGGAAATACACTTGCTTTGCTGAGAATTTCATGGGCAAAGCAAACAGCACAGGAATTCTGTCAGTCCGTGGTAAGGATAAATGCTTTATTTCTATGAGGACAAATGCAATAATAATGGACAGGGTAGTAGTACATTTTGTCTATAGAAACTCTTCTCTGGAAGAGAAGAATACATCATTAATTTACTCTCTCCATAGTCTTATGGAACCTACCAGGAACCATGGGATTTTTAAACTCTTTTCGCCTCTAAGAGCGGAATATGATATCAGAAAGCCCCCATGCAAGTTCCCAAGGTGTGTTTTATTTTCATATGCATACAAATGGCTTTCCATTAAGAATTATTGTTTTGCTTATCTTTTGCAGATGCGACTAAAATCACTCTTGCACCATCCAGTGCTGACATCAACTTAGGTGAAGATATTGCCCTCCAATGCCATGCCTCCCATGACCCAACAATGGACCTCACTTTTACTTGGTGCCTGGATGACATTTTAATTGATTTTAGCAAGTCTGAAGGCCATTATAAACGAGCTAGTACAGTGAGTACCTAATGCTATTTCCCTCCCCCTAGCAAATAGATTATAAGGTATGATGGTTTTAAGTCTTACTGTCAGAGCTATGTCTACTTCCAAGATAATGCATTGTTTTTAAAACATCTTTTTAAATGTACAGTATGCATTGCAAAACTCCTTTTTGATTCTGACACTGTTGCTTGATGGTTTGTTTCTCCCATGGACAGAAAGAGAATATTGGAGATCTTGTAGTCTTGAATGCTCAACTGAAACATGCTGGCCGATATACTTGCACAGCCCAGACAGTGGTGGACAGCGCCTCTGAATCAGCTGTACTAGTTGTAAGAGGTATTTTTTTCTTGATTCCTTTTTCTTGAAATAACAATTTCCATTTTTAATTGCTTCTGCTTTGTCTGATAGATAGATGACTTCTGTGATTTTAAAGTGCCTCTTATAGTATTTCTATAAGATATAGAAGTATATTTTGTTACATGTATGCAAACTCACACAACCTAATATAAATTATTATGCTGTAGTATTAAAGCAGGCATGTCACGTCGCACAACTTATCGGGCCGGTTTTGCCATTGCCGGCAGTGGGGTGGGCGCGGCTTCCATGTGACGCATCTGGCCTGCAGACCAGCAGTTTGACACCCCTGTAAAGGCTTCAGTCTTATGAGCACACAAGCACAGCACTTTAAGTAAATATATTCATTTAAATGTACATTGCATTCAAAAATAAAATAAGAGGCATGTGGAGATTCTTTCTTACAATGTGAACAGGTTTTTTTAAAAAAGAAATCCTATGAATATTACCTACAATCATACGTTTTGAAATAGTTTGCTCTACTTCAGATTTGTGAAGAACTGATAAATGAAATGTATGTGGAACTGATGTACTAATGTTGGGCATTTGATAGAGTTTAAGTTTACAAGACTGCTGCTTTTTTGGAGTGTTTTTCCTGTTACCAATTATTTATTTTGCTTTTTGGATACTCATTGCTGTGTTTGTGATGACTGTGCTATGTCCTTTCTCAGTTGAGAGGATATTGATGCATTGTGACAACTTATGTCCTTTGCTTTTTCATGTTAAAATCATATTTTCTGTGCTTATAGCTTATACGTCTATGATATATCTTCCTGTTTTTTTATTTATTTCATACATTTTAATGCTGTTTCTAAGTATGCAGAGAATTGCAGTATATTCATTTTTTCTGTATTATAGTTTAGACCTTTTTGGAAGGCATTACACTGTGATACAAATAAGTGGTGACTAGAATATTGCCCATTCCAGTTTAGTTTCATGCTTCTTTGTTGCTATCAATTTCCATATTTTTAGTTTGTTTGGGGTTTTTTTAGCTTGTTTTAGCTTGTTTTCGATGGCTGCAGTTTTCATTGTTACATGCTCTAGTTTTAAGATTTATTCCAATTTTTGGCGGGTATGGTTGATGGTTGGTTTGTATTTGTGCAGTGTGAGGCATGCACTAACTATAATCCATCATATTCCTCAGCCATAGGTGCTATTTGCCATTTCTCTATGAAATCTGCACCTATTCACTCTGGACAAAGTATAACATATATTGTGTTCTGCTAGTTTACAGTTCATCCAACGCAAAAATAAGCCCAAAAAATAAGCACACATTCAAAATGAGCAGGAGGCATAGTTTAGAAAAGCTTTATCTATAAAATATATATAAACATGATACATACAGTTTCATTCAGCTCTGGGGAGCATCAACAACTCTTAACTTGGAGATCAGAAAAAACATAGAGAAGAGTAAGACACGCCCAGACCTAGGCTGGATCACATGCCTCACACAGCCAATATTGTGTCTTAATCAAAAACAGTTCTCATTTGCTGGTTTGTTGCTATGGCTATTCCAGTTCATAAAATTTCTTACACAGTGACATGTTCTATTCTCTTTTTTGTTGTTGTTGCAGCTTTGAAAATTATATGTTAAAGGACAATTTGAGCATTATCATTTGAATTCAGAGTAATACTTAATGGACTGCCATTATGGCAGGGAAAGGCGATGGGATAGTGATCTTCCTCCAGCAAACTTATGGATCTCTTGAGCCAGACTTTTAAATGCAATTTCTGTTTCTTTTTTGTAGGTCCTCCAGGCCCTCCTGGGGGATTGGTGGTGAGGGATATAAAGGACACCACGATACAGCTAAGTTGGAGTCAAGGTTCTGCTAACCATAGCCCCATAGCTAAGTATGTCATCCAGGCCCGTACTCCACTTTTTCCACAATGGAAGCAAATGCGTACCAGTAAGTGCCTTAAGGGCAGTGGCCTGCACTAAGTAGGTTTCAATATAGAGTTAACCTTTTCTCTCTTTAGCGCTGATGGCTCTATTTATTCTGTTTTTGTGCTTTTGGGTTATAGATCCCACAAATATCGAAGGCAATGCAGAAATAGCCCAAGTTATCAACCTCATACCATGGATGGATTATGAATTCCGTATCCAGGCTAGCAACATCCTTGGTAGTGGAGAGCCCAGTGTGCCATCTATGAAAATTCGAACCAAAGAAGCCGGTGAGTATATGTAAAACATGAAATAATAAAATGTGGAATCAGCTGCATAATGTTAATAGCATTCTCATAGTAAGGTAGTGGCCCATATGCATTATCCTCCTCTTCCATTGGATTCAGCAGCCAGCTGGTGTTGAAAATTTTTTAATCATAATTTGTATGGTTTTCATACTTTATGGGGACTAAAATTCTCTTTTGGAAAAATGCATGTTAGTTAAAATCTTTTTATTGCATGGTATTTTGGCTTCCTTATCTAGATATAACTGTGTTATCCTTTAAAACAGTGGTTCACAAATTGTGATTCCACAACAGCTTAAAATTATACATTACTTTATATAACCCTACTCCGTAACTAATTAATGCATTAGGCTTAGCAACATTCAGAAGTCCAAGCTCAAATCCCATGCCTTAGGCGTCATTAAAGGGGGGGGGGCTCGTGAGCCCCAGAAATTCCCAATCTATAGTTTGAGAATTCCTTTTTTAAGTATTCAAAAATAATAATCATGTCAAATAAGTCATAAAGCAAAAGACCAGTCAATCTAATGTCAATTTATGTCATTTTATCTTTCTCTTGGTAGAGTGAAAGGAGGGGGGCAAGGTTCAGTGATAGAGCAGATATTTTGAATATAGAAAATTTCAACTACAGAGCTGAACAATTCAAATGCTCTCTCAATTACCAATCGGTATTTACAGTATTGAGCTACTTGAACAAGTGATCTGATTCAGTGCAGAGCAGCTGTCTATATCTTTATTAAATTATGATGGTTTTTCACTATTATTTGGCTTTTTTCCCCTAATTCGACTTGCACACTCTCTTCCTTACTGGAAACACAACAGCCCCTACAGTTGCACCATCAGGACTCAGTGGAGGAGGAGGAGCACCAGGGGAACTCATTATCAATTGGACAGTAAGTTGGCCACAGAAGCATACATTTCCATAATTAATGTAATATAGTTTCTATTTAACAGGAATTTTTAGGAATATAGAAGTAAAGCAGCTATTCAAAATACATGAATGTTGGTACTGCTTTAAATAGATTTGACTCCTATGTTTTATTAAAATAGCCAAGCAGTAAAAATGTTACCCGGTATTACAATTCCTGTATTTCCTTGTGAAATCATGGAGAAATTATTTTTGTGTACCAAGTTTTTCTCTATAAATTTTGCATGAATAACTTTATAAAAATGCAAACATATATTGTTTAATGGATATTGAATATTATATTAAAGCTACTGTGCAGAATAGGCTTTCACCCACCTGTAAAATTTTATAGGAATTGGATTAAAATACATGGGTGCATTAAATTGGGTTAAAATGTAGGATGTAGCAGATCATACTGAATAGGAGAATATGCTGGTGGATTGGTGGATTTCAAATTGAATGTGAGCCAACAATGTGAAGGAGCTACAGTATAGTGTCAGTGTCAGGACTATATCTAGAGAATAATTCCTATGGGAAGTGGGAGATCTAGAAACATGAAATATAAATAAATAAAATAATTTCTCCCTGATTGGCATTGGTGGGATCATGCTAAAAATATGGGGCCAATTTTGAACATCATATACTTAATCAGGAAAAGGGAAGACTGTAGGGACACATGATAGCAGTCTTCAACAATCTGAAAAGTGTCATAAAAGGTCAGAGCAAAAGTTTTCAGAGCTGTCCCAGAAGATTGGACAAGAAAAAAATGGATTTAAATTACAAGAAAGTAGAACGGTTGGATATAAAAACAAGAAACAAAAAAAAAACCTCCACCCAACAACAATTCCCAGTATAGAGAGCAATTCAACAGTGGAACAGAGTATCTCAGAAAATAGCACAGTGACATTTATCTGGATTGGGAACTATCTGTTGAGAATATTGTAGTAGTGGATTAATATAGTGATCAGGGGAATAATATGTACTGTATATGCTATATATGTGTGAAGCATATATACTGTTACTGGTTTCAGATTTTTACCTGCTATGGGGGTTTTTGAGGGTTTTTTTTTTTTTTTTACTCATTTGGATGTTTCATGTTATTGTTGCATATATTAACCTGTAATATATTAGCATCATAAAATCTTAAACTATATATTGTAAGTGTTGTTCAGTATTTCTGTTTTATTCACTGGTTGTTTGCTGCCCACCCTATATCACAACCTTCATCTCAGCCGATGCAACGAGAGTACCAAAATGGAGATGACTTTGGATATAGGCTCTATTTCCGGAAAGAAGGTACCCAGTCCTGGAAGATTGCAAATGTGCCCCATGCAGAGTCACTACATTATGTTTATCGCAATGAAAGCATTTCTCCTTATACACCATTTGAAGTGAAGATCAAGGCCTTCAACAGGAAGGGAGAAGGGCCAGAGAGCCTAGTAACTATTGTGCATTCTGCAGAAGAAGGTAGGCTGGGATTAAAAAGATTTTAAAAGTTCTGTAGCAGAAGTTCTTGATTTCCAGATATACTGTTATCTGGCAGTTTCCTACATATCATGAGTTAATGATGGCCATAGAGTCTGGAAAAGTATATAGATTTCCTCTAATAGTTATAAAGGTAAAATTCTAAGTAATAATATATAGCCAGCAATAATTTGTTCTACACATTCTGGGTTAGAATCAGTTTAATTTTCTTCGGTTTCTCCTCAAAGCACTTTAACAAAATTAATCTAGCATATTTGATAAGATGTCTGCTGCTTGGTCTTTTACATTTTGATCAAGAGTCTGGCTTCTGATCTTGATCTTTAAAACTGGATAAGATTTGCCTTTACATGTAAAGGAATTTTGCCTACTAAATTGTTTTACTTTGACAGAACCAAGAGTGGCTCCCTCTAATGTTACAATCAAGGCAGTAATGGCTACAGAAATGGACGTTTCTTGGAATTCTGTGGAACATCATGATATGAATGGAGTCCTCTTGGGTTATGAGGTAAGAGATAGGACCGAAACTGGAACAAGGCAAAACAAGGCAGAATAAGAAACAGATCAGTTGCTTTGAAGTCTTAACTCCTGATGAAGCCACTTCACTGAATCGACAAATATGAATTGTCTTATAAAATGACAGTCTTTTCTTATCGAATGATAACTTGGGCTATTCAGTTATATTCATGTAATGCTAAGTCAATAGAAATTATTCAGTGTCTAAGAAGCCAGGGCTGTCACTTAGGACCAACTGACCCTGTATATTATTGTCTTCAGATCCGATACTGGAAACATGGTGACAAAGAAGAAGCCGCTGACAGAGTAAGAACAGCAGGTCTTGTCAACTTGGCACATGTGACTGACCTCCATCCCAACACAAATTACCATGTGTCAGTCAGAGCATACAATGGGGCAGGGACTGGGCCAGCAAGCTCCCCCACCAGTTTCTCGACAAAAAAGCCACGTAAGTGAACATTTGATCAAATAGCAATTACTCCTCTGTTTTTCACGTATTTCAGCTGTATGTAATATGCATGGGTATTATTTTCTAGACCTATTATTTTGCAGTGGAGATCTATTTTTAATATATATTATTTCTCTGCTGTTTCATGTTGGTGGGGTTACTTTTGAGTGTTTCTTAAATCAGGCAATTATATCAGGATTCTTCCCTTGAATATAAAACAAGAAAATATTTGGAACCAGAGACATATGGCAAGGATATCAGCAAGAAGATGAGTCTACTCAAAAAGAGGGTAATCCATGCCAGGCAGAAATATCAAAATCACCATTTATCTAACCATTGTTTATCAGCTCCATAGGAATTATGACACTTTCCCTTCTGAGAAAAGATGGGTAAAACAGAATGTATGACAGGCCCAAGCCCACTGCAGTTTGCCAACCATCTTTCTGCAGTTCACAAACTAGGATTTAGCCTTTTTGATTTCCAAAGGAAAAGGACAGGTAGAGATCTGGTATGGCAGTGGCTGTTTTCAGTCTTGGAAAATCACAATTTATACTCACACGTAAAACCTTTTCTTAAAAAAATATATCATTTGTAAAGTATCTAGGAATAAAGATCAATACAATGGAGATGTTTAAATTCTTCCATTTTCCAAATGATCCAGGAAAAGAAACTTGGTGCATCTGTGAGTCACTAAAATAAAACATTAATAGTCTTTAGAGAGATGAAATGGTTGGCTGCAGGACACAAGCTACAGTTTGTCTTCTGTTCACTCTCTTTAAATATCTACTTTTTACATTTTCTAGCACCAAAAATGCTGCCTGGCAACATTACATGGACATTTTCCAGCTCCAGTGTAAGCATTAAGTGGGATCCTGTGATTGCCAACAAAGATGAATCTGTTGTCACTGGCTACAAGGTATTTATAATCTGTAGCATTTTCCCCATGAGCAAATGATTTTTAATTTTTAAAGAGCAGTATAACAAATCAATGCAGCATGGTATCATTACAAATAGTTCAGGGAATTGTGGGATTGCTGCATTAATCACTGAAAATCAGGTCCTATAACCAATTCTTGGTTCTGAATTTCTGGCAACTTTGCAGTTTCTTAGAATGTGTTTTCAACCTATAGGCTACTTTCTATAGACCTAGGTTTATATATTGTAAGTCCTGATAAATATGCATAGAATCAAAATGGACATATTTCAGGTTGTTGAAGAATTTTCTAGGTACATTGCTAAACAAGAAGGAGGAAGAAATTAAAACATGGAAGAGACTAACAGTAAACTCAAAGTGCTTTCCTCCACAGATGCTATATCATGCTGATGCACACTCCGCTCCTGTTCTATACATAGCCAACAATAACTGGATTGAGATCCCAATCCGAGAAGATTCAACTCATGCGCTAGTGCAAATTAGGACAACAGGCCCAGGTGGAGATGGTGATCCAGCTGATGTACACATTCTGAGAAACAGTGGTGCGTCTACCTTTCCTTCCCTTTCCTTGTTAGTTTGTATTTTATTCATTTATTTACAACATTTGCATATTGTTTTCAGGGAAAAAAATCTTAAACTGTTTGCTATATTTTGTTTTTCCAGTAGAATCAGCATTTCACCAGATTTCTAAAAAGTCAAGTTGTTGTCTTCCAGGGAAAGCGTATTCATTTTCCTCTTCTTGATTCTATTTTCCTTAATTTTCTTCCTAGTGTAATATTAATATTTCAGGGGTGACCAATCCCAGTTTTTCCCCTTCTATATTAGAATAAATAATAGCACAATTTCCACACTTTCATTTCTGAACATCATCCAATTTACTATACATGACTGAATCTCAAGAGTATCATGGTTGGTAGAAAAAGTGATGAAGTTATTATACATTCAGGGAAATTAGAGAAACCATCTCAGGAACATCTGGTTATGTATCAAGAATTTAGAATTTCTTGTTCCTTGGAACTAAATAATGGTAATCTAAATCTCTTTAGATTCAAATTTAAGATGGAGAAGAATTATGGGGTTGCAGTTTTCAGCTAAAATTTGAGATAAATATTATGGTACTAGTTTATGAATTTAAAACATTTACCAGAAAATGTAAAATATGAATTCGATAACACATTTGCTAAATCTCCTGTTTGTAAGAAAAGGGGGTTGTTGTTGTTTTTTAAATAAATCTGCACAACTACTTTTTTTTTTTGCAGGTACAAGTATGATGGTGGAAAATTCTTCAGATCACCCAGTGCTTCATACAATGGTTGCCCTAACTCATGCATTAATAATGCTTGCCCTCATTGGCTCCTCAGAGCTCTGATATTAACTACTAAAATTGAAAGCTATTAGATAAGATTTTTCATAATTTAGCAAATCCGCAGGTCACCATTTGGACTACAAATTTCTACCACAACTATAATTATAGACAGTACTTAGTGGAAAAGGACTTGAGAAGAAAAATATACTTTTTTCTTTCTTTTTTTAAAGGATATATAACATTTCATACAAGACAGGAGTCTTTGATCAATCAGATTTTTTTAAAACTGACAAAACAAGAGGTGATTTCTGGAAACTGGATGTGTCTTTCATATTACTGTATTCAGTAGATTTTTCTGCCTTACAAAGCCACATGCAAAAGTAATGACACTTAAAACTTGATTTTTTTTTAAAGTACGAGAAACAAAATACAAACAAGAATAAATGCATATCTTCCAAGAGAAGGTGTGTCTCAAAGGATGAGCATTGTTCCGTATCATTCCCAACTGCAGCCAGTATTGTGCCAAGGACTCCAGTATTTAATGTTAAAATGGAACTTATTGAAGGGCAATATTGTTCCAATAAACTTTTTTCAAGGCATCTGGCTGGAGGACACAAGCCAATAGAAACTCAGACATCTCACACTGCAAAGACACTTGATGAACAAAACAATGTTGAATCTAGTTTGCTGAAAGTGGGATATTGATGGCTCGCTGGTAAAACCAAAAAGTAATAATAATTTGCCTTGTACTTTGGCTTTTACTTTGCATTTCCTATGACCGTTCATCTGTGCTTCTTGAAGAGGTACATTGTTTATGCATTCAAAACTTAAAAACAGTTCATTGATTCTTGCATTTTCTTATGGTTCCTCAGTAGTGGGAGGCTTATGGCAGGAAGGAAAGCTTTAAAGTTACTACAGAACTTTTATTCCACTTTGTCAGGAGACACACAGTATCATTTATCCAAAATTCATCAACCCAATTTGAACCTGAAAAAAAAATTGAGTTGACATGATAGTTAATAACAATAATTAACATTTTAACTTGAGTTTAATTTTGCCAAGTGACAGTATTGATTTTTCAGGTTGTCTTTCAGACATTTAATTTTGCTATCAATGTATTTATCTGCTTAGTTGTTTTTGGTTTGAATAACAAGGAAGGGGACTCCCAATATCAGTTTTGAAATACTGCTACACGTTTCTTTTTTTTTTCTTTTAAACAAGTTTTATTGTTTTTTTCATTTTACAAACAAGTGTTTAAGAAACAACGTGGTGGCAGGGCAATCAATTGTCCACAAAACAAAGTCATACTCATAAAGTTCAGATTAAATCATTTAAAAACCCCTCTCTTTTCCCTCTAATAACATATTATATTCAAATTGATATATTTCAATACAACTAAATCAATCATAATAATCCTCAATAACCTTTCATCTAAATAGATCCACAAATCCAAATCCTGTGTGAAGCTTAACTATTTCAATTACTATATTCCATATTTCTAATCTAAGTACATAGTTAACACTTCGGGAGTCTCCCCATTACCTTTTTCCTTAACATATTCAATAAACATTTTATTAATATCATTTCTTCTTTTTCCTTATTCTTCTTCCATTACAAAGTGACTATGAATTCTAATATAAAAACAAAATATTAGTTCAAATCAGAAAAGAAAAAGAACAAAGAAGAAAAAACAAAGACAAAACAAACAAAAAAAGAGAAAAAATACCTTTCTATTTCTATTATACTTTATAATCTAACAATCAATCCCTCAGTATCTGTATCACATTTCTTTAACCTCCTCCCAAAGTTACTATATCCAAAACATATTAATACATAGACAAACACCTTATTATTAAGTTCAGACCTTTAATTAATTTTTATTCAATCTAACATCTTATTTAATTGTCTTAAGCTACAAATCAATCCATATCTAGTAAGCCTCTTAAACCCATTACATAAAACCTTAAGTCACACTCTTAAATCTTATTCTAACTTTCCTTTTATGCCAAACAGGTTTCCATAACAATGCCACTATATCAATAAACAAGTCACTTTTTATGTCTTGTAGTATCCTTTGAATCAAACAGACATCCTCTTTTCTGTTTTAGAGACCTATCTCCATTGTAAGTAATCCCTTGTTGTTTTGAAAAGTCAAATCTCCACGTTTGAAACTGTTGAATGGCCGGCTCAATTATGTCCAACTTTGTAGCTAATAGTTGTTTATCCAAGCTACCATAGTTCTCAGTTCGTTGGGCTTGTCTGTCCATTTCTGTTGGTTTTAGGCTTGTAAGTGGTTTAATTGCAGTCCATTTTAGTTCCTCGGAGATCTCATCAGCATGCGTATGAAGTAGAATGGAATCTTCTTTACCTTTAGTTAATCCCGCTTCTGTTGTTTCTTGGTCCATAGAGTGCTCAGATAAAGTCTGGGGGTCAATTTGTAAATTCAAAGCAGAATTTCTGTTTTTTATTTCCATAGTAAATTCTTTTATTTGCAAACGTATTTCATCAGTAGCTTGATAAAGTTTTTCCAGTATAAATTTATAGTCAAGTTGAACCAAGGGTTGCTCCATTTCAAAAATAATTAGAAACAATCTGTATCATTTAGTAGAGGCTGTATTCAGGAAACATTTAATCAGCGTCCACTCCCACCAATACAGCTGTTAATTTTCTTTGTATTTTTCCTTTTATGATAATCTGAAAGTCAAGGTCAGTCTAATCCTCAGAAAAAAGAGAAAGTTGCAATTTTAACTTTTTCCACAAGGTGTCCTCAGTAAAATGTAAAATCTTCTCCCAGAGACCAGGAGTCTCATAAACAAGATCAGGAAACACAGAAAAAAGGAGAATTCAAGTCCAATAGCAGATTCAATATTCACAAAATTTTCCAAGACCCCAAAGTGAAGGAAAAAAAAATACAAATAGAAAAAAAATCACTTTAAATTAATTCAGTCCATTTAAACTTCTTTTTCCCACACTCACAAATGCCTCTTTCTTAGAGTAAGGAAATCATTTCAAAAGTGCTCTTTACAGGCACAAAAGAAAAAAGAAAGCCAAGAGAGGGAGAAAAAATCTCACCTGGCTCAGCCACGGTGGTTCCTGTGCTTAAATGTTCTTCTGACTTCTGGTTACAGCGGCAAGGTGAACGGCCATTTTACTGGCCATTCTTTCCACTGTCGGCCCAAATCTCGGTCCATGGAAGAAGCTGCCGCTTTCCCACGGACGACAAGGGCCTTCTCAGTGATAGCTGCCCCTCCAAGGTGGCTTTTCGACCCGATTAAGGGTCTACTGGCAGCGGAGAATCAGCTGGCGAAGAGAGCAGTCTCATCGCACAGCTGTGAGCGTCGCGATCCGGAACCGGAAGTCTAATGCTACACTTTTCTAAAATACTGTCCTACTTTCCTGAAGTCAGCAGAATAGACTGCTGAACTTTTTTCTGAATGGAAATTTTCCAGCTACAGCAAAACTGTGATTAGCAAATCATTTGACAAGGCAGGGCTGTCCATGAATGTTTGTTAAATCCGAATGTACATTATTTGAATCAATTTATGACAGTTTATAATATTTCATAATTATATATTAAGTAATGGGCATAAATTGATAGAATGACATAAACTGACAGTAATTATAAATGTAAGTGAATTTAGCTGACTATTTCAGATACAATGGACTTTATCTCTTGCTTTAGAGAGATGTTTAGATGCAGATTTAAAGTCTGTTAAATCCATTAAATCGAGGTTTTACTGCACAAAGAAGCTTCCTTTGTCTTTTCCCTTACCAAATCTTACATGCAGAAAAGGAATTGGAGGCTTAATTTTTCCACATTTGCATTTAGGATTAGATCCTAAATGCATTTCCAAGGACTGAACACCCATAATTAATAATAACCAAGGCTCAGTGTGGTGATGCCCACCATTTTTAAATGTAATGGAAAATGAAGGGTTAACCTTAGAAAATATTTTTAAAATATAAAACTCTATATTATATGCAGAAAATTTTATGCAGAGAAAGATTGAGGAAAAGTAGAAGTTTGAAATTTGAACCCATCCTTCTGCACCGTCATTCTTTCCCCTATGCACCTTCTTGCCACTAGAAAATTACCCAACATTAACATAAAACATGCATTCTACAGATGATGATGATGATGATGATTACATGTCATCTGGCCATTATCAACTCTTAGCGACAACGATTTTCTCCAGAAGGATCTTATCCTAACTGGTCTTTCAGCTTTTCCAACAGTGTATTCATCGCTACTTTAATTGAGTCTCTCCATCTTGCTCTGCTCATTTTCTTCTTCTCTTTCCTTCCATCTTTCCCAGCATTAAAGCCTTCTTCAGACAGTTGGGTCTTCACATAATATGTCTGAAGTAAGACAGTTTGAGCTGGATTAATGATACATTGATTTCTTTTCTTGGATATCCACAATATAATCAGGCATCTTCTCTCACATCAGAGTTCAAAAGTGTCAATATTTTCCTAGCTTGCTTCTTCAAAGTCCAACTTTTACTTCCATATAGAATCATTGGAAATACTATGGCTTGCATGATTTTGATCTTTGTAGATATAGACATATCAAAGCATTTGAATACCTTTTCAAGTCTATGATGGATATTCTGCAAAGTGCTACTCCGTGGCATATTTCTGGATTGTTACTTTGATGGTTGAGCTTAAAAAGCAGAAACTATCCACCACCTTGATATCTTCATAGTCAATTGTAAGGCTAACTGGTCTATCTATTTGATTGTATTTTATCGTAGTCCCATTTTTCACTGTTCTCCTTGACTTTTTATTACTAGGGCTTGCAAATCCTTTGCATTTTGGCTATTAGGGCAATATTATCAGCTTGGGTTTGGTTATTGATGTTTCTTCCTCCAGTTTTCAACATTAATCTTCTTCCTATCTAGCTTCCCTTTATATATATTTAGCTTATAAGTTGAATAAAGAAGGGGAAAGTATATGCAGCCTTGTTGCATTTAGTTGTCAACATGGAGCCAATCTATATCACTCTATTCTGGCTGTACTGTGGCTTCCTGAGCTTTACATAAGTTTCGCATGAGAATAACATGTTCTGAGAGTCCCATTTTTCTTAGCACTTATTACAACTTGCTGTGATCAACACCTCAAAGACTTTCTATGAAACACATAGTGACTTCTTTTTGATATTCTTTGGCTTTCTCACTTCTCCAGCATGAATCGGCAATAATGTTCCTTGGTCTTTTCTAAAACTAGCTTGGCCATCTTTTTCAGTGTAGGGTTCAAATCTGCAATGAATGATCCTAAGCACTATTTTATTAGCATGTGAAATTAATAATATTGTATAATAGTATGCACTCTTTTTTTGGTATTGGAATGCAAATTGACTTTTTCCAATCTATTGGCCATGTTCAGTAGTTTCCCAGATGCACATTTTGCATTTCCCTGTTCTTTCTCTGGGAGCTTCGCTTGTTTTCTGTTATTAGAAACTAGAATTCATAAGATACCATAGGGCAATCCAAGCAGAATTCCTCATGACCAAAACTGGTATTGTTCAGATTATAAAGTAGCAAACTCTCATTTCCTTGTTCCTAATAATCTTCTAATACCTTACTAAACTGAGGACTTAAAGGGCAGTTGGTAAAAATCCTACCTTAGTTTTGGATTTTTATGTGTTTGGGAAGTATTACATATCTATGCCATTATATATTTGTTATCTTATGTATTATGCTGGTAGCATGAGGGCAGCAACTCATTCAATTAAGTATATCTTAAACATAATTATAATAGTTTGTGATATTTTGCCAAGCTCTGCCTTTCAAATTCAAGAAGAACATTTAGCTCCATTAGAAAGCCTGTTCATGTCCCACTTTTTAAAATATTGACTTTGGTTCTGCTAGCTAAGACCACAGTCAGCTACTGTTACTGCACCATGAACGTGGGACACCTATTTTTTTTCAAGATAGGCTTGCTCCCTTTAAAAAGTTATAAGATGTGAAGTGGTGGTGTGCAATTATTTGTACCTGGAAACGAGATACTTCATATGCGCTCAATTGTGCATTTCCAGTACTTAAGAATTTAGGAAATATTTCCTTCTGTTTGAGAAAGAGAAAAAAGATACAAGCATTTCAAGAAAGGAAGAGAAAAACTGATCATGGCTCACTGGCCTTAGTTTTTGACCACATGCTAACTTCTAAAGAAATATCTTTTGTTTCTTCTCCAGGCTGATGTCTTCCAGACGTATAGAATTAGCTCCCATAATAACAAGGCCAAGACTAATGGCACATTGACAAAACCAATTTGATACCTAATGCTCCCTTGAACACTATTTCAA